AAATGCACCTTACTTTTGCTGGTCTAATCCGATGATACTTTCAGCCACATTACATTTTGAAAACAACAATATAAGTTGAATCATGTTAACTTTCTTGAACCAGATGAGAGATACAGAAATATTTATTAAATAAAAATATAAAAAATGAAAAATTTTTACAAGTAACCCCATCATATTTAAAGCGTAGAAAAGACATTACCATGGGGTTGGGTTTTACTACTCATCTCTCCGCCTAAATCAAGAATGCTAATGTCGTTCTTTTTTTCCACTTTTTTCCTGTTTTCTTGGTTTTTCCGAGGGATTTCAAGAATGGGGTTCCTATTATTAAAAATAACAATCGAACATCTCAAGACGAAGAATGCTAGACGTTTTTCTTCTTCTTTTTTTCCGGCCTTTTCCCTATCCCCCCCCCGGGTTTTCTTGTTTTTTCGGAGGGATTTCAAAAATCAGGACCAGGGGGGGGGGGGTCCAATTAACTTGTAGGGTTTTGGGGGACGTGTAGGGTTTTGGGGGACTCATAGGGTTTTTGAGGGTCTAGACTGTGCAGTGCTCGAGGTGGCAGAAATCGGGTCGTTTAGAGGCTGAGGACGTTTAAAGGGTGGGCCGCCTGGTTGAAACGATTTCCTAAGAAGATTTCTTAAAAAACGTGTCACAAAGTATGTATTATTGGTATAAGATTGCTTTAATCCTATGCTGTTATGACTGAACGATGTTGTGATTTACTTTTGAGTGTCTAAATTTATTTATTTTTTATCATAATTTACGGTTTTGTGTTCTTATAGTTTTTCTTTACATGAATGATATGATGTGAAATGCTTGTTATTTACCATATTTAAATTGTAGATTCATGTTAATGTATTAAAATTAATATGATTGGATTGTATTTTATGAATTTAAGATCATAAATGCATGTTCTATATGAATCAAAATAAATAAAAATTAAAAATCGTAATTATTTGTATGTACAGATGGCATTTGAATAAATTCAATGTTTATGAAATATTGATCATGCTAGAAAATTTTATAAGAAATGAGTTTAAGATGGAATTTCATATACTTAATTTTATATGAATCAAAATAAATAAAAATTAAAAATCGTAATTATTTGCATGTATAGATGGCAGTTGAATAAATTCAATGTTTATGAAATATTGATCATGCTAGAAAATTTTATAAGAAATGAGTTTAAGATGGAATTTCATATACTTAATTTAATTACATATTTGTAATATTTTTTTTTTAAAAATTTGGTTACATTTTTATATATGAGTTTAATAAAAGCAACATAGTGCACGTGCATTGCATGTGTTCATACATTTTTTTTAACTTTCAAAATAGTCTATCGACATGAAAACGACAAAGTGACTTGGGTGGGGTGGGGTGGGGTGGGGAGTTAAGTATTTGAAAGAATTTTGAGTGTTTGTTGTAATAGTGAAATGTAATGTTGGGGGAAAATGCACCTTACTTTTGCTGGTCTAATCCGATGATACTTTCAGCCACATTACATTTTGAAAACAACAATATAAGTTGAATCATGTTAACTTTCTTGAACCAGATGAGAGATACAGAAATATTTATTAAATAAAAATATAAAAAATGAAAAAATTTTACAAGTAACCCCATCATATTTAAAGCGTAGAAAAGACATTACCATGGGTTGGATTTTACTGCTCATCTCTCCGCCTCAATCAAGAATGCTAATGTCGTTCTTTTTTCCCACTTTTTTCCTATTTTCTTGATTTTTCCGAGGGATTTCAAGAATGGGGTTCCTATTATTAAAAATAACAATCGAACATCTCAAGACGAAGAATGCTAGACGTTTTTCTTCTTCTTTTTTTCCAGCTTTTTCCCTCTAAAATGGTTTGCAATTTTAATCCTCTAAAATGGTCATCTATTTACATCAGATTTGATTATAATTTCTTCAAGAGGACTTAGTTTTAGAATATAAAACAGAGCTATGTGCAGATACACCTCTGACACTTAAATTTATGTTTAACATATACAAAATTGAGAAGAATTTTTTTTTCTTTCCAAATTCTAGAGTTCTCTCAAAAATAAAATGTACGTCCGTGATCCTACAAACTTTATTCGAATGCACTTCTAGGGCAACTGTCTTTCCCACAAATATTTTAATAATTGTGATTTTTTTTTTCTTTTGAGTGCAAATAGATTTAGATTGAGGAGCCAAGTAGAGTATCTGGATAGCCCACGATCAGCGCCTGGCCGCCGCCGCCCAACGAGGTCACCTCCTCCCACTCGCTCTCCTCCTCGTCGAGCCTGAACACGCTAACGTACTGGCTCTCCCGTTCCACGAAAACCGACGTGAGTCTCCCGTTACGCTCAACGAGGGAGCAGCGCATAACGTCGCCGCCATCGTGCACGGGGCTCGGCCTGTCGAGGACACGCCACTCGCCCCGGGAGGGGTCGAACGTCGCGAGGCTTCCGTCGCTGGCCAGGCGGTAGAACCTCCCGTTGCGGAGCACGGGGCGGCTCGAACCCGACGGGTACTCGAACGGGCGGCCATGCTCGAGTGAGAGGCCGGACGTCAAAGGCTTTCCGATGCTCGAGGTCTTCATACCTGTCAGAGTTTTGAAAATCGATTATCGATCAGAAGCTCAAGAAAACTAGTTCTCTCTCTCTCTCTCTCTCTCTCTCTCTTGCTGACTAGCTATGGGTCGATATATATATATATAGAGAGAGAGAACTAATCCAACTTCTAATACGATCAGGATTCTAATTGGAACTTTCCTCCGGTTCTAATAAAAGAAAAATTATGGAGACTCCCTAGCTAATCCTGATTCTATTAGCTAGAAATCCCAAATTGTAGTCAAAATCATGGTCCAAGACTTTTAAAAACCCCGCAGCCTTTCTAATTAATACAATCAGGATTCTATTAGAAATCACAACAACATTGAGAAATCACAATTAGAAAACTAGCTCCAGCTCAATCTTGCAACAGATATCGGTTTGTAAATTGCATTAGCCATCGTGTTTCTTTTTTTTGTTTCTCTCTCTCGATCATGATTTCTACGAGAATTAATTGTAGTAGTTGGGAAATTAGTGATAATCTAGGAAATTTATTAAAATCTGCCTCAAGTATTGACTTACTACTTACTTACTTGCAAACATCTTATTGTGTAACAACAACCATAAATTATTAAATTGTAATGCTCCTCTGTAATTTTAACAGTTTCATGAGAGAAATTCGACCGATTTCTCGTTGGTATTTTGTTTCCTTTGGAAAACAGTTTCATGCGTTCGTATTGCAAAAGAAATCCAAACTGAGCAGGATCTGAACAAAGCTGGAGCTCTCACGACTGCAATAATGATCTCGGACAGAGCAGGATGCTCTTAACAATGTGATCGGGTTAAATGGAAAATTTTACGGGGTCACACTCCGCGAGAACCTTGTTCTCATACATACTGCTCCATGCCCTAAAACCTCTTTCGTCGAAGCAGGGAGGCCCGAATTTTTGCCTGGAATACGTGCGTGTGTGCATTCCATGGTTGAATCCTGCGGAGATATTTTTCTCGTCGTGAGGAATCTGTTGCTGGGGGAGCCGAACAGAAGCTGGCATTGGTATTTACAAGATGGGGTTTGAGAAGAAAGCATGGGAGCCAGTGAGTGATATTGGCGATCGAGTTTTTTCGTTGGCGGACACTGTTCAGTATCGTGTTCGGCAAGCAAGCTGGGACTAAAGGGAAACTGCATATACTATGTTGGAAACTGCATATACTATGTTGAAGGCAGCGATCTGTGCACTGCTGACATGGATGAAGGGACTGTGATGGTGGACAGGCCATGGCCATGCACAAACCTGAGTGATTCATGCTTTTCGCCCTTCTTGGATTTTACCACCTGCAGTTTGAAGAGGAGGAAAACGGCGAAGTGTTTTTTTTTTTATTTCTTATTAAAGACAAACATAATTCTGCAAAAAGTAACTTTCTGAGGAAATCCTACTCCTTTGGGCTGATACCAAATACTGTAGAGATAACTTTTTTTTTTGTCTGCCATACTTGTACTCCTCTTCAGTCTTCACTTTCTATAGAATAGCAGCATGTACTTGCACCCTTGCAAGTCAATGGAATACTCTGAGGAGCAAAACAACATCTGCCATCAAACTCTTTCTCTTCTGCAGGTACCATCTCTGGATGTCCATGAGGTCTAGTGCATGCTATCTTCATGTTTGAATCGTTAATGAGATTTATGTTTGAATTCTAAGCTATCTTCATGTTCGCGATCTAACAGATATCTTTTCTTTTGCCCAGGAATTTTGACTGATGATATACTGGACACCAGCTTGTGTTGGATGCCACAAATGTTACTGGGTTCTTTTGGCTTTTGTATGGTTTTGACTGTTTAATGTTGTGATTTTTTTTTTGAAATATGACCATAACATTGTTTGAGGTCATCAAATTGTGAGATTTGTTTCTTTGAAAAAGTAGTTAATTGATTCTTACTATGAATTTTGAGTTAGTATGTCATAACTCTGCCTGCTTACTGACTATGCCATTAATTAATAGCTATATCTATTAGAATCAAAACAAGTTTTCATGCATTCCGCATCAACAGGTACCTAAAATTTTGGTATATGTAGAATTTGCACTTACCAGAAAAGGATTATTTTGCACCTTGAGAAGAGTATATATGGAATTAGAAAATATTACCTGTTTGTCCGAGAAAAAGCATAAGCATTCCCTCCTCCCTTTTCTGAAACTCAGAGGATTAATTAGGAGGGTGCTTGTGGTATTATCTGCGTTCATATATATACTGCAAAATCAAAATACAAGGAGTTTAGCTACCTATATCAATTGGCCTCCAAGGATTCACACAAAGTTTCTCTTACTACCGAGTTCAAATGCTATCTGTAATGACTACCATGCAAATGTATTGTTGCCGAGATCCATCATTTGAAACTGCAAGGACTTGCAAGTTGCAAAGCCTTACCAAACTTCAATTTTTCACAAATTTCACAACAATTCTCCATACATCAGTATACAGAGTGATACGAAGTGACGAGCGGTAACCAAAAGTTATTAAGGCACTATGTATAAGCAATACATTTAAAGCATGATCATACAAAAAATATTGCACTGACACAAAATATACAGCGTCATTATCTGGTTGGGGGAAATGCTAGGCAATGCTACAGTCATGCATCTCTTCTCATCTTAGTATTAATTGGCACTTCCTTGTAAGAATTCACTTTCTCAGCTGCCTTTCTCATTGGCCTCCCAATAGACGACCTTGGTGATCCCAGATTCACATTTTTACGAGAAATACTTTGGTCACAATGAATTTTGTGTATTGGTGAATCATCGACTGTGTTTCTATCTTCATTTGTGTAATTTGGTAGCTTTAGCTCCTCTATCTCTAACGAGTCCTCAGTTGGTTCCAAAAGTTTGGGTTTCATATTACAAGCCCTCCTCAAAGATTTTCTGCTTCAATCAAAACTTTAGATATTTAGTACAAGAACAGATGGCAACAACAAGAAATTACACTAACTTGTGTAGTTCTACCTTCTGCCTTCATCCTTCTCCTTCACAGTTTCTTGACGAGTAGGCCCTAAAGCTGCAAGGAATTATTGTATAACTTATGATATGTAGAAGGACTACTTCTGTGGTTGACAAGTTTATGGAAGTAGGATTCAACTTACATTGACTTCTTCGTGTGCGCTTCTTGTTGGTATTAGCAGGTTTTTTGCAATTTATTGGATAAGTTGGATCTACCACCACTTTGTTGGGCTGCAAACAATTGTCCTTGAAAATTTAAATTAACAGTATTTAATATTATAAAGTACTTAATATATCTTACCTCACTGTCGATCTTCTCCACAAATGTTTTGTATTGCTTGTTCAATTTTTTCAGCTCCTGTAACGAGTCAAAGAAAACCCATCTGTAGATTTCATCTAATATAGCAAGAAACAATCTTTAGTTTTGTCCAACCTGTAACTCTGAAGTTTTCGCTCCAAGGACTGCAACCGTGCATCCAAGTTCATGCTGCATTGCTTTTAGCTTCAAACCAGAAGACATCATATTTCAGAATTTGCAAAATATGTGCTTAAGTGAAAAGAAGAAAGAACTCTATAAAGGGACCTACGTAGTTCTGATTTTAAAAAGCTAGTTAATGAATTGTTTTTCTATAGGTTTTACTTGACACATTACCAATATAGATGTGAGAAAAAACTATGTAAGCCCCCAATTCTATAAGCTTTGAGCCATCATTACCCAAGGAGAAACTCCCTAGAATGTGAGGGGTTCAATGAATTCAAGAGAAGTCGACTAGGTAAAATTTGAGAGCAACATGAAGTAACAAAGTTAATGCCATATAATAGCACCTTATCCTAGAAAGGAGGAGAGACATATCTCAGTTTTTCTTAAAGTCATCTTTTTAATTTATACTATATGTTTCTTCTGTATGTTGTCATCTGAGTCTACCAGTAGATTTAGGAAACTTGACTTCATTTTTATGAACTATATATGACGATTCGTGCATCAACTTCTCATGCAATTGCACATCAAAAGCTACTGCAGCACAAAACTGTATTAACTAAGGAAGAATTTTAGATAAACAATGATGATGGGACTTCCCTTCATCTAATCGATACGATCTTAGTAAGTCACTCCGAAAGTAAAATGGTTGTGACAGAGTGATGAAAACATATTAATGATGAAAATGCTCTCATAGGCTCTCAGGCGTAGCCTGATGTAATCAACAAACCCTGAAACTCCGATAAAACACACAGTGGACTAAACTGCATGAAATCAATCAACAAGGACCCGTACAAGACAAATAATTTTCAGAAGCTTGTGGTAAGTGCTCATAGCTCGGAGTTGATTAGGACCATGTACTAAACTCAAGGAGCTTCTATAGTGACGATACAATTTATCAGATGACACTTAAGGAACATCAAATTTTTACTGGATGAAAAATCACTAACAATCATGAAAAACTAAAGAAAAGTCAAATCTCAATATTAAAATAACAAACCAGCAAATCTCACAATGGGCATGTTAAAAAGAAGGTAGCAAACTTACTCTGTCTTTACCCAAGTTGAGCTCCTGCAGACCGAACCAAAAGTTATATATCAGAAAATTACTGTTACAAAAATAAAAATAAAATAAAATAAAGATAAAAAAAGTAATGGTGAGAACAAACTTGTAGCATATTAGTGTGAGCCTGAGCAAGCTCCCAGTTCTGTTGATTAACTTTCTCTACGCTCATCTTAAGCTTCTGCAACTCCAAGCCAGTGATTTCTATGATTTTGCTGTCCAAAACCAACCAAACAGCAAACCCATCAGTTTTTTTTTTCCCAAAACCAAAAAATACCCATTTAAAAAATCACCAAAAGACCCAAACTTTACAACAACTCGCATACTTCCTCTCATCAACGAGCCTCAGCAGCAGATTATTCCCCTGAAACCAACAGAATTGAAAAAAAACCACCCTTTTTCAGCAAAATTTTCGACAAAAAACAAGAAATCAAGGAATTTGAGACCTTGAGGAGCATCGTGATGCAATCTTTGGCACTCTTCGTGGATCCCCCATTAGGGTTTTCTTTGCCATTCGATTCTGATCTCCGATCGCTGGTGATGTTGGTGATATCAGAGAATCTCTTCCTTCTAATCTCGCTCCCTGTGAAAAATCCCAACTTTGATTAGGGTTTCGCGATGAACCCAAGAAATTAGAAGGGTTGATGAGTAATTGCACTGACCTGGGTCCATTGAGAGAGAGAAATGAGCGAGAAATTTGAAGGGATTTAGTTCTTGTTTCTTGAAATTGAGAATTAGGGTTTTGGAGAAAGGGGGCGGGTGGGTGCGTACTGCGTAGGCAGAGAGAAGCGGGTGGATTTGGTTTGGGTAACGGATCTCCGAACCTGAGGTTAGGGATCCGAAGCTATATTTAAAAACTTGGTCTTAAACAGTAGGGCTCAAACTGGGCTTTTAGCACAAGATAAGCCCAGTGATAAATTGGCTGGGGTCAGTTTTGAACTAAAAACAACCTAATTTGCTCAATGTAATCAAGCTTATGAAATCAATACATCTAATCTAATCTAATATTTTGTTATAAAAGTGGATTGTCATGTTAAAATATTTCTTCCTGAAATAATCTCTAATACATCTATTCATACATATATGAAGATACATGCATGCTCAAGTTTTCATAACATCCTCAATGCTCGCACAACCATGCATGCATACATGATGACAAACATACAACTTTTCATAACCTCCCAATTGATCGTCATTAATTTTTAAATTAAACACTCACTCATTACACTCCTCCACTAATTCTTGGTACACTAAAAATAAATTTATTTGCACTAATGATAATAAAAAAAAGTTACAACTATTCATTTTCCACCAAATCACTGTAAATAATAATAAAAGTTTATCATGCTTATCCAATCAACATCCCAATTCATAATTAAAATTTAGATAGAGAAGAAAAGACCCAAATCTAGCTTACTCTTCTCCTTGCTGCTTCAGCATCCTCGAGCTCACTTTCTCTATAATATTTATAACTTTCATGTTCTTTTCTTGATTAACATTGCTATACACTGAGATTTTTAAGGCGTTTAATGATTTTTGCCTTTTTTTGGAGATGATGTGAATATATGTGATTTATTTAATAAATAATAATTAAAGTTTCTATCCATTTTCGCATTTTGTTTTTGTCTCAAACTATGTTCGTGTGTGATTTTGTTAACTATGAGGTCTTTGGTGATTCCTAATTACACGATTACATGCATTGGTAAAAATAAACTTCCATCTTATTTATGTAGCTTATTAGTTGGAGGTTAAATTTATTATATATTAATAAGTTAATTATTATTAGTTAAATAAATAAATTTATGAATATCTAGGTTAATTTAATAAAGTATAAGGCACCAAAGTGCTTTTTCGCCTTTTAGAAACCCCTTAAATTTGGGCATTCCTTAGATAATATCACTTAACTTGCAAACATAAAACACTACTAACCTTTAGTGATCTCAGTAAGTCTCTTAATTAAACTTTCGACGGTTTTCAAAAAACTCTTCTTAATGGCGTTAATGCTGACTATGTTCTTTTTCACATGTAGGTAAATTTATGGAGGTCGATACTTTTGCCAATGAAAATGCCATTTCATGCTTTTAGGGTTTTTTTAACAGTGTTAAAAGTTGAAAGCGGTTTCATGAGAACCCCTGAACTTAAGGAGGTTTCTGATATTTTCAAAGTTCAGAAGTTTATGAGGAGGAGTTTGTTGAATATATCCTAAACAGAATGTACAAACTTATGAGTGGGGAAATTGACTTGATATGTAATAAATTATAGATTGTAAATCAAACTAATTTGAGATACTATATATAATAAAAATATATATTAGGTACATAAAATTATCATAGCATATAAATAGGAAAATGGAAACACGTGCACTATACTAGTCGTATAAAATAAGGTTATTATTTTCCCTAGAAACCGCTATTAAAATATTGTTCCTC